TGTCAATAGTTGGAGGCAACTAGTGAGGTATACTTCTTAATACTTGCGAAGCTAAGGTATATTTGCTAGGGAGGAAGTTTTAAATTAAATGAAATAACCTATCTAGTGCAAATTTAAACTTAAGGCAAGAAGTAAATGTGAGTGATACATCAATCTAAAAGAAAATCAAAGCACTTATCTTAAAATTTTTAGAGATTGCCAAAACTTGCATTCTTCCACTAGAAAAAAATATATATAAAAAAAATTGAAGACTATATAGTGAGAGCATAATCTGTACATGCCTTAAGCTATAAACAAAAGAGATTAATCTAGTAACCAACAAAACCTAGACATAGGACTAGCACACCTTTTCCAAGGTGTGGTGAGAATTCAAAAAGCCTCCCATGCTTTTTAGAATACAATGATGCTTGAGCCGTGAGAGGTGGGTGGGGTTTGCAAGTTCAAGAACTCACCTTAGGCTTGTTCTTTCTCGTGGAAGGATAGAGACTACAAACTCTCTAATAGTTCTTCATAAACCCAAATGAAGATGTCTCAAATTTCCACAGCACATAAAAATCTAGATTGTTGTGGTTGGGGGCAAAATTAGTGGCTGCCAACCTGACGCTAAACATGGATCTCCATAGGAAGAAGTGTAATTGCTGCAATTGCTAGTGATCTAGCAAGCAAGTATTAGCTCAATTGCGGCAGAGCACCTAGGGTGAGCTAAAACGAATGGGCACAAGGGCAGGACACATAGGTGACACATGTCAGATGCCTATGTTGCCTTGTTTGAAGCCAATGAGCACTAAAGTTGTGATGGCCTCCTATTGGCCAGGGCTAACATTAGGAAAATTATTCGTGCAACCATGCAAACAAAGCTTGGCCTGGGTCTGGGATCCAATGGCTGGCAGGCCTCCTTGCTAGAGGGAATTGTTCATATTAGAGACCCACAGGCATATGCCAGCATGCTTCTTGTCCAAATTTATAGACTTTCCTAAACACTTCCTAGTATATTCTAATTTATTTACCATCTAATGATTGATAGACAATAAGATAAATCTTGTGTTTATAAATTATAAACATACATTTGATCAATTGTTGAATAACACAACTATTAAATAAACCAAGCATTATTGTATGCTGTTCACATAGCAAATAATTTGATTATCAATATCAGTTTTCATGTAGCTCTCACAAAAAAAAATGGTTTGAATAAAATGAAATTAGGCACATATACATATTTCAACATAATTCTTTTATATATAGCTATAAATCTGGAATTGAATATAGTTATCAATATATATAACATTTATGCAACTAAAATCAACCTGGTTTTTATTATACATAACATATACTTAAGAAAATTATATTAGAAAATTATATATAAAAATTATAGTTCTTTGAAGTTTTATTCTGAAAGTGTAATATAATATAATTTTCAATATAGACAATGTTGTGGTGTATGTAATATGAAACTAGAAGACAATATTGTTTTTAGTGTAGATGTTATATCATTCTCTCAACTACTATAATAAAACTAGAACAAAATATAGTTTTTAGTATAGATAATATTCTGTTGTATTATATTATACAAACTTGGAACATAATATAGTTTATAATATAGACAATATCAACAAATATTTTCAAACTGGAAAACAAAATTTATGAAAACAAAATTTATTATATGAATAACTTGCAATTTATAATACCTTGAACAATAGGCTAGTATGGTATTTTTTCTTAAGCTTATGATGTTTTATATGTAGGGCTGTTGGCCAGCCATGGACTGGGAGGAAAGTTGGTACTAGATATGACAAATATTTTTAGTGCCAAAAGTGGTGTGTAATGAAAAAAAGTAAATTGAAATTACCCAAGAGAAACTCTAGTAGTGGATCACTATACTAATTGCATGTTTTAGCTCTAGGGATTGTTCAGTTTGATCACACTTGCATCCTACCAATGAATATTATACTCTAAAAAGGTTTATATTGTGCCACACTTAGAACCACTTCCATTTGATTTTGGATATGGTTTCTCTAAGAGGTGTCTTCAACAATGATAGTCCAATAGAAGTGGCAATAGGTGATATAGTCAAAATCCATGGAAGAACTAAATATATGATGAAGGTACAAGCCAAGTGGATGGAGTCTATAACCAATAATCTCAATATATACAGTATTAGAAGAGGATATTTGATAAAGAAGTAAATGTTTTATCTTGTATATCTTCCTAGGCAGAGCAAAAGAAAAAAGTTAAATGAAATGGAGTTACACTTAAGTTTAAGCATTCAAAGAAGAAATACTTAATATATGCAAGAAGTAGTTAGGAATAGTTATAAAATCAATAACACTTAAATGTATTGGAAAACAATTCTCACTCATTGTTGTATGCATTTGCATTGAATTAACCATATTTTTTCCCGCTTATATCTATAGAATTGAGAAAGTGACATATACTTATCCTTACTCATGCTTTTAGAGTTTGGGGCTCAATACTTCTATAATCTATTTTCTCATTCTTTTTTCTTCTCTCCTTCTATGTTTTTGTCTTTGTCTATTTGACACTATTTTGCAAGTAAGGGGAGAACAAGTACAGGCAGAAAAAGCCTTACTCAACATCCTATACTAAATAGTAGTAATATAAATTTATTTATCTTACTAAAAGCGTATGGGAATTTCTTTAGACAAGTTCTAGCTAGAGACATCATTAGTTTGCAAAATGGTGCAATGTCAAAAGAATATTGTCAAGGAGAAAATACACCATTCATCCTTTATATGTAGTAGGTTTTGGAAAGAAGACAACACACTTCCAAATAAAAAGAGGACTTACATCTTACTAGAAGGTAGCAATAATGTGGTAATGGTAGAAGAATGTTTTTTACTTCTACTTGACACTTCTTCATCCTTGGATTTTTCTTTTACTAGTTTGTTGTTATTCTTGCAACAAGACAAACATCATGATGGAGGGATTAGCAAAGTAAAACTTTTAATACTAGTAGCATGTTTAAGTTCTTGTTGCTCTTTAGACCATAGCAAAAATTGACTCCTATCTAGACAAGTACAATACAAGGAAAAGAAGTGAGAACTTAAAAGGCTTCTTTATTTCTCTATTTACTCACTTAAGTAGACAACTTGGAAGAATACTCATCTTTGTCCTAGATTACACACAGCCATCTAAGCCTTATAGATGAAGCTAATTTATTTCCTTGGATGGCCTCCAATCACTTCAATGCTTGTCTTAATTGTGGACTCTTGTCCTTGGTCTTGTAATAAGTTGCAATGCTAAGCGCAAAGAAAATCAATGCATTCCCAAACTATTGCAAGTTTATTGATGCTAGAGACCAAGAATATCAATAAGGGACCAAGAAATATCAAGACTGCTTATTGTCCCTAATATGTACTACAATTTTAGAAACCTTAGCCCCCACAATAGTATTCTAGAATGGAGGAGAAATCCCTAGTGCCATGGTTTTTAAGCATTAGAATATTCATAGAATCTCCTTGCCTGAATTAAAATATTCATCCATTAGCTCAATCAGCTGATCAATATGCAGTCAGGATACATCCAAAATTGGCTTGGTACCCAAAATGAAGAGTTGGGCGATACATTGGGTCAAATTTATCAATTCTAAATGTGGTTGATAATAGTGCATAACAAGAATTAACAACTATCACTAAAGTAGTATAGCATCAAATTATCATTTCTTCATTTAAAATGAACAAATATCGATAAAAGTTTGACATAGTAACCTTGAAATAAATATTGCAACTACTACTTGAATTAAAGCCTTCTTTTGCCAACATAAAGTGATACTTTAGAAGTGAGAAATACATCTACCAATTGCCAAATTCATAAAAAATTGAAATTGTGAAGGCCTTAAGTACATTGCTAAATAGGCTGTGAAGTTTGGATAGATAATCATTTTTAAAGAGGTTTGGTCCAAAAATACTTGGGACTACCACAATAATATTTACTAGAAAAATATACTAAAACTATATCTATTTTCAAAATATATTGTGAATCATTCTTTATTTATAACAATATATGTAAATTGTACTAAAACTTAAGTGCATAGAAAGACCAAAACATTATTCCAAACTTACTCTCTCCATTAGTTAATTTTAAACTTTATCTATATCGGTGAATTATATAGAAAACTATAGAAACCACACTAAAAACCACTCCTAGACTGATTGTCAAATAGCATATAAATCATATTAAAAACCAGCAAAAGATTTGTTATAGTCCCAGGCTAGAGTATGACTGAATTAAAAAAACATTCCCAAAACCAGTCGTATATATAGATTTTTCTAGTTTATTTTTAAAATATTTTCTGTAATGTAGCATAAAATTTTATATACTTTATTATGAATTGAGAAAATTTAAAAGAAATATTTATCTTAATAAAATGACTCAAAAGCATGAACTTATAATATTATCAGAGAATTTGATAAATTATAACTTATGAGCTATAATTATGAAATATATTAGTAATATTATGTAGCTAAAAATAAGGTTAAAAATAAAAAGAAAAATTTATGAAAATTTACAATAAATATATAATTTTAGGAATGTGTGATTTAGAAAATCAAAATTACACGAGCCTAGAGTCGGAGCGTGCAAGGCCTTAAATGCGAGAAATGATTGTGGAATTCCTTGAATCCGCAAGAGATCTTACGCTGGATTCGGTTATGATTCTAGCTAGCGACAATCACTGACTGACTATGACCACTCTCAAAGCGAGGAAGGAAGAACGATGCCCATCGAATTGAATGTGCGACTTGCTATATAGGAGTCCGTATGGAGTCCGCACCGCAGGATTTTCTTCTTGCTTGCTTGCTTGGTCGGTCTCTCTTTCTCCATCGCTCGTGTGCCGTGCGTGCGTGCGCCTTACCTACGAGATCTTCTATCTAATCCCACGGGCACCCACTTTAAAATCGCGAATCCACTATATATCTGCTTGGTACTCCCCTCCTTCGATCGATCGACCGATCGATCATTCGTTCGATTGCGAAATCATCATGTCTGCTACTGCTACTGTTGCTGCTGGTACAAGTGATTCGAGCGCGCGAGAATCACCGCCTGGGCCAGCGGCGGCGAATCGGGGCCATGCGAGGAAGAAGAAAATCAGCAGGAAGAACAGCGAGTACCGGGGGGTGAGGCGGCGTCCATGGGGCAGATTCGCGGCGGAGATTCGCGATCCAAACACGAAGGAGCGGCGGTGGCTGGGGACGTTTGATACCGCCGAGGAGGCGGCGCTTGCCTACGATGTGGCCGCTAGGGCAATGCGAGGGATTCGCGCGCGCACCAATTTCGTCTTTGATCAATCTGATCGTCCAGCGGTGGCAGCAGCAGCAGCCGCGCCGCGATCTTCCTCTTCTTTCTGCGGGATCTCGAAATATCCTTCCAGTTCTTCGATGATGATCCAGCAGCAGCCCGGCGGCGCCAAGAGCCCCAAGCAGGTGGAGATCGAGCAAGTCCTGGAGAAATGCCGCATCTATCAGCTTCAGATCCAGAGCAAGAACGTCCAGCACGATCAATCGAGGGAGCGCGCAATGGCTGGTCCGGACTTCCCCCTTGCGCGCGACGACGACAATCTCCTCCAGATCCTCCAGCAGCCATCCCCTCAGCAGGAATGGGATCTCGGGGCGGCGATTGGTTTCTCGAGCCAGGAACACGAGATGATCGATTACTATGGCGAATCGAGCTTCTACTGTTTAACATAGAAATAAAAGAGTTTTTAGGGCTCTTGTGTATTGAGTATTCGAGGTCATGGCGCCCGCGGCTACCACGGCGATCGCGTCGGCTTCCACCACAGATCGCCTCCTCCGCCGCCAGCTTCCAATGGTATGCACTTCGATTTCTGGGGATTCTTAGCGAAATCTCAAGTTTTTAGCTGCCTTGTTGATGAGGATATTGCCGAGGCCTATACGTAGACAAATGTATATGTGTGGTGTGCCTTAGATTGTTTACTGAGGCGCTGGAAGAGCTACACCGGCTGTGTTTCTCTCCCTCTGGATCAAGGTGAGCGTTTGATTCGTCTATCTCTTTGATTCATAATTCTCAAAATTTGTGGTCGTTTTTTTTGTTTTTGCCAGTAAGCCACTTTGGCACATTGTGGCACATATGGTAACGTCTGTGCCCACTCCTGGACACAGCCAAGTGTTGTTTCCGCTGGAAAGCCGTGAAGAGCTATCTATCTGTGTATAGATATTGCTTGTTATTCCCTACTTCGCTGCTAGTGCTCCTAGGATTTGCTTGGAAGCAAGTTCCCGGGTGGAAAGAGGAGCAAAGAAAGCCACCGTGTGATCGAGGAAAGCTTCTGGAGGTAAGTTTTTTTTTTTTCTAATTTGCTCGGTTGCCTCCACAATTCTCCTAAGGTCCCATCTTCTGGAAAATTCGCCGCTCTCTGTCTTAAGGTGGCTATATTTCCTCTCTCACTCACGCTATACACTTCGTCAAGGCGAAAGCACGGAGGCGTGAAGTGTTACAACAATGCTCTTTGCAACTCCTGCGTGTACAATATTGAATTTTCTGCCCTTGCGTAGTGGAACCCAAAGATGTGAAACACATCAATCCGGAGCAAGAAGAGGAAGAACGAAGTGGCAAAAATGTCCGTATCATTGATATAGAGGACAATGTCTTGCCAGAATCTTCCGAGGCTGAAAAGTTTCAAGCGGCTTTAGCTTACTAGAATCTTGTTGTAGCGGAGCGCGGCCAACAACAATGTGCTTACGCTGCTTTTGTTTTTCAGCCCTTTTCGACTGTGGTTCGCCAGTCCGGCGGAAATCTTTTTTGCTGCGACCATTGTCCCCGCGTGTACTATCTCCATTGCCTGAGCCCCCTCAAGGTAAGGGAATGCTTAAAGACGGTGCGCTCTATCTATAAGTTGTGGCGTGGCGATGTATAGAAGAAGAATGGCAGAAGCGGTAACTGCGAAGAACCACTGAAACTTCGAAACCACTGAAAAATCGCATAAGCTAAGCAGGGATTACATGATCAAAAGACTTCTCCATTCGTAAATTAATCCACTTGGCCAAAAACTAAGCCCTGCCTTTAAGAAGATGGCGGAAGAACCCTAGGTGAGAGTGAGCAATGGCACGCGTGTCGCTTGAGAATCTCTTGCCGGATCCCCGATTGTTTTCGGGGATGAGAGCTGGATTAGCAAGCATCTCCCAGATCCATGGAAGAATCCCGCGGGCTTCCTTGGCGGATATCTGGAAGAGTTACTGGCATACAGGTAAATCCTTTTGTTGTGTCTGTTGCTTGCGCATTGCGAGTCGCTCAATTTGCAGTGGCGACTTCGACGGCAGGCGGCCAGGCGGGATCCTCTTCCTGTGCGCCAAATGCTATTACGACATGTATGCTGCGCTAGACGAGAAGCTTGAACAGGTCGACGATGATCGAGAGAGCTACGCTCTCTACGGCGTGTTGCTCAATCGGGGATACCGAGTCTCGTTTTACAAGTGGGAGCGGCATCCTGATGGCACGGTCACAAAGGCGGTGTGCCACACAATCTACACTTTCAGGCGTCCCTACGAAGTGCGTGAGATAATTGGGCCAACCATTCGGGGCATGCTCAACGAGGTGCAGGACAACAGCGAGCTCGAAGTTCTTGAGGGTGGCACAAGTGAGAGGATGGATCCAAAGTGGCTTGACTACCCTGCTATAATGTTTAAGCCCTCAATGTGGCGACTCAATGAAGAAGTTCCATCTGGGGTTTCATCTTCGTGAACATTTACAGCTGCAATGCTGAAGCCTCGTCCTCACACCAAGCAGCTCCTCAACCATACAATAACTGCGAGATATCTTGTAAGAGGAATTACCACCTTTTTATTGGTTCAAAATGGTAGAACATCCACAATTGATGCAAGATTAACACCACACATTTTTAGCATTTCAAAGGCACAATATCCATTTTGAACCATTATAAGAAAGCCTTCTTGTAAAAATGGTTCCAAGAATTATAAGATTTCTCTCCAAAATCTCAAGAGCAAGTCGTGGAGAAATGTCGCATCTAAGATCCACCCAAAATATAAAATTTCTTGCCCGTGACGACGACAATCAATGGGATCGACGAGATGAGATCGAGTAGAAATAAAAGGTTATCTCGAAATTTTTTAGGGTTCTTGAGTATCATGTCATGGCGAAGTTAGTGGAGTATTTCCTCGTCTGCGGCCTCGGTCCAGAGGTCCAGGCGTCGAATGGCGCCCGCGGCTACCACGGGAGTACCGGCGTCTCCTATAGTCCATCGCTGCTGGATCAGTTCCCTCCGGCTTCCACAGATCGACCTCCTCCGCCGCCCCAACTTCCAATGGTATGCACTTCGATTTCTGGGGATTCCTAGCGAAATATCGATTTTCTTAGTGCGTTCTACCGGGTGGAGTGGCATTTCATTCGACTGGATTCATAATCACGGACGAATCGAGCTATCCTCGCAGCTATCCAATTATCTTAACTGGTAGTGTTGATTGTTTATTCCTCTTACAGTCCTATCTTGAGTTCTCTAGACGGCGATGGATCTAAGATCTACGTTAGCTGCGTTGCCTTTCGAGATCCAGTTGATGAGGATATTGCCGAGGCATACCGCATTCCTGCGAACTCATACGTAGACAAATGTATATGTCTGGTGTCACACTCGCCTTGCTTTAGATTGTTTGCAGAGGCGCTGGAAGAGCTTCACCGGCTGTGTTTCTCTCCCTCTGGATCAAGGTGAGCGTATGATCTGTTATCTCTTCGATTCCAATTTTGTGTTCGTTTTTTTTTTCTTTGCCAGTAAACCACTCTGGGACATTGTGGCACATATGGTAACGTCTGTGCCACTTCCCACTCCTGGACAGAGCCAAGTTTTGTTTTCTCTGGAAAGCCGTCTTCTGTGTATAGATATGCCTCCGAAGGGCGGTTTTCCTCACGCAGACGTACGATTTCCATTCACAGGACACTAAAATTTTTACTAACCATTGGAGTTTTGGTTTGCAGATGTCATTTCAACCTCTCCTACAATGCTTGGATGTAGATAATGTTTTGCAGCTCTTTGTTTCTATTCTTCTTGAGAGACGGGTTCTTCTTCGGGCTAACAAGTAAGATGACGTTGTAAATGTTTCCATTTTATCTTTTGGTGTTCGGTACAGGCTTTCGTTGTTGACAATGGTTGCGGAAGCTGTATGCCATCTTATCTATCCAATCAAGTGGCAGGTACATTCTCAGACGACTGTATGCATGCGTTTAAACTTTTTTGTGTGAGCAGCATGTGTACATTCCAGTATTATTTTACGCTGGAGTCGACTACATTGAGGCTCCGACTCCCTATTTGATGGGTCTTCATTCGGCTGTTGACATCTCTAACTTTTCGCTGGACGGGGTATGATGTCAAATGAACTTCGGTTTTTCCGCTTTACATGTCTTTTTACTCCACAGGTGGTGGTTGTGGATCTGGAAAACAATCAGATATTTTCCTCAGAAGCCATACCTCCTCTTACGGAACCTGAAGGCTCAATTCTGCGAAGAGACCTTGTGCGCTTACTGTATCCAAATGTAGTTCATTTGGATCGTGCTCGTAAAACAATTGGCGATCCCTGCTATGATGATCTAAGGCTTGGAAATAAGAAATGGAATGAGAAACATGATTTGGAACTGAGGTATGGCCTGATACTAATGTTTTTCTTACGCGTGCTAAGCCAGTACCACATTCCAGGCTTATTTTTCTCCAGTTTTTTGCATCAGTTTTGCCTGACTACCGCAAATTTGTGGTAAGTGGTGCATCTTCTTTTAGATGCGTACTATCTAGTCAAATCTTACGACAGGGGGCTGCGATTGCTCTCCTGGATGCAGGGCAGTGCTCACGTAGCGATGAATGTTTTCAATACGCAAGCTTTCTTGAAAAAACGTGCAAGAGCCCTTGGACGTCAACCTGATCCCATGGCAAGTCTTTGGCTTTTTCGTGGTTTGTTTTTTTTTTTTTTACTGGTTTACGGTGTGCAGATTTTTCAGCTATTGAACTCCCAAGGATTTATGGATTTTCTGGATCGAGGATATGGTGCACCTGATGCGGGTTTAAATCTTGTGGATAAACTTCAGAGTGTTATCGCTAATAGCGAATCTCGTGGAGCAATTCTACCTCTGCCGTACGACGAGCCTGAAATCATAACCGTTGCAGATATACAGAGTAAAGGTCCAGGTGAGGAGAAATCGTTCGTTGGTTTTCTATCGATTCAACCACCTGTGTTTCAGCTGCGAGGTCAAGATTTTGTTATGATCGATTTCCTGCCAACGTGAGGACTCAGTTTGAGGAGGAGAAACGAAGTGCGATTTTGGCTAAAGCAAACGCAAGTTTCGACCGTCCCAATAGACCAGCTGTTTCAAGGTGAATGCAATTTTATCTGCTGGAAAATGTTGTCTAATCAACTTTTGTTTTTACAGTCCTGTTTCAGGGAGTTTCAGTCCACGAGAAAGAGCTGTAAGTATTATGGTTTTCTGCACACTTATAGTAAAAGACTCATTCAGGCTGAGCGGGACCGCATGGTGCTCGACATAAAAGTCAAACTCCAGGTACTTGCTAACTTGTCAATACGCAATCTTACGGGTTTTTAAAACTCAGGGATTGTGGCTACGGCTTCTCAATTTAAGTTCTGTAGAGGATCCCTTTTCGTCGTTTGAATATGGCACCATACTCGGTAAGATCTCGTTCTCATTACGTAGTGCTCCTAAGCTTTTTTTCTGCAGCTTTGATTGAGTCCGATGCGGAAGGTATTGGTGGAAGTGGATTTGTTGAGTGTGTCAGGGAGCATATTCACTCGGTAAGCTAAATGGTTTTGGTACACGCTGTTCTAAAGCTCGAACCTTTGCAGGGGTGGCAATGTCGTGTTTCCGAGGAACAATTTGTGGCAGTTAAAGAGCTTGTAAGTACTCTTTTGTTTTCTTTAAGTTCTCTCCAATCTTTATTCTTTTCCTTTGCAGGTGAAAACCATTGTCAATCGTGCTACTTCACGCAATGATATGGAAACAGTTCGGGATGCACTGGAGATTTCTGCCGAAGTTCACCGTCGTGATGCTGGCAATATTTTAGACTTTGTACAACGTCATTTGGGGTCTTTGCCAGTTTGGGACGACATACGGTGAGCCTAAGTTGTTTCTTAAATATCTTTTAACTGTAAAATTGCAGTTTCTGGGAAGGATATTGTGAGTATATAATGGAACGTTCCTCTGATAGGTATTGATTTCTTTATAAATCTTAATTCTCTTGGTGAACATGTGTTGCCTGTCTTAGGACTGGGAAGTATGCTGATCTTGTAACCGAACAACTTGTCGTCATAGCTCGGCACCTGGTACGATATGATTTGAATTCTACGTTTTATTGCTTGATTTTTATAGGCTGGTTTGAAAGTTCCGGATCCAGAGGCCTGGCTAATTCTTGAGTCATTAGCATTGAAGAATAATCTTGGATCAAAGCAACTGGTGGGTGTGCACACTTTTTTCAATCACGTCCAATGACATTTTCCTTTTTTTTTTCTGCAGATAAAATTAAGAGGCATTTTAGCTCATGTACAGAATGTGAAACAAGGTTACTGGGGAAAACTACCTACATCAAGAGCACAGCCAGTAGCCTCTTATCCTCAAGATCGACAAGAAAACGATGACAGTCAGAGCTCTCAAGCGGCGGGTGCTGGAAGAAGCTGGATGCAAAGTATGTTTAGCAGGGATCGCGCCTCGTTCAGACAACCTGCCAACGACGGTCGAGGTCGTACGGACGCACCTGTTTCAGGTAAGTTCTTTATGAAATAAAGTGTTTCTGTTGATGGTTTTCCCGTTTAGGCTCAAGGCAGAATCAGCGAGCCAATGTAGACAGTACGCAGGCAGTGAAACGGTCTCCAGCTTTGCGAAACCTTCGTGGTCATACAGGTCCTGTGACAGCATTGCACGTGGGAACGAGAAGTGAAATGGGGGATCTTGTCGGCGAAAATGAACCAGGCATGTTTATAAGTGGATCTGCTGACTGCACGGTTCGTTCTAGTCTCGGTTCTCTGATTTAGCATTGACAAAACATTAAGTGCAGTTAAAAATATGGGATCCAACCGTGCGTGGTTCTGAGTTTCGAGCAACATTAGAAGGACACACGGCGTATGTTTTAACTGTGTGGTTTGTTGATGTTTGTCCGTCTAACGATTCGTCTACAGGACAATTCGTGCAATATCGTCCGATAAGCTGCGTATAGTTTCCGGTGGCGACGATACTCTTGTACTTATCTGGGACAAGGCTACGTCTCAGAACAGCATGAAGCTCGACGGTCACAGAGAAAAGGTACTCTTTATGTCTTTACTTGAAATAGTTTGTGAAGCATGGAAATCGCAGATAAGCTGCGTGAGGATGCTGTCGGAGGAACGAGTTCTTTCGGCGTCCCATGATGGCACGGTCAAGATGTGGGATGCCAGAACGGACGCATGCGTTGCCAACGTGGGACAATCTTCGAGTGCAATTCTATGCATGGACTACGATGACACTACGAGAATCCTTGCTGCCGCAGGAATGGACGGGTATGCTTGTTGTTACGTCAAGCATCTATCTTGATGCTATTTATTTTGCTCAGAGTTGTGAAAGTCTGGGATGTCCGAGCTGGGAAACAGGTTCATATGCTTCTCGGTCACAAGAAGTGGATAAGGTAAAGCTGGTTGTTCTTGGCTTGTGAGACTGTGTTTTCTTTTGCTGCCTTGGCCAGAACTTTGAGAATGGTGAAGGATACGATCGTCACTGGAAGTGACGACTGGACAGCGAGGGTGTGGTCTGTGTCTCAAGGTTCTTGCGACGCAGTCCTTGCATGTCACGCAGGTGGAATCACCTGCGTGGAGTACTCTGCTACAGACGATGGAATCATCACAGGTTTGTTGCTTCACTTCTACTTGTGCTACTTACACATTGCTCTTTTCATACAGGTTCGGCAGATGGTCTGGTTCGCATTTGGGAGTATCAAAACGGTAAGCAGAGTTTTCATTTCTTCGCTTCCGAGAGTAACCAATGATGTATAATGTGTGCATCAGGAGGCTTGCTTCAGTGCGTGAAAAACGTCGGTGTCCACGTTTCGCCCATTCTCTCCGTGAAAGCAGGGCCCCGGTGGCTGGCAATAGGCGCCGGAGATAACTCCATGTCCCTGTTCCACAAGGCGGAGCAAAACGACCAAGCAAAGGGAATGGCGGGATGGCAGCTCTACCGCACTCCACAACGTAGCGCCGCAGTGGTACGTGTCGATTGATCTTTATCTTCCAATTCTCTGGATCTATGTATAATAAGAACTTTCACTCTTTCCAGGTGAGATGCGTTGCTTGTGATGCGGACAGAGGAAGGATTTGTAGCGGCGGCCGCAATGGGCTTCTTCGTCTCTGGGAACCAAACCTCTAGAAATTTTAAAACGAAGTGAATATGCGTTTTTTTTATTTTTGTAAGAACTCGTGATCTAAGTCATTGGCGGGACGAAATCCTGGTTGGTTTTGTGTGTAAAGTACACCAAGGATCTTCCGAGCACCATGGACGTAGAACTGCCTATAGTAGTCTCAGTAAGTTCCGAGGTGTACACGCTAGTTCTTATAATCGAGAAAGGAATATCCGGCGAACATCTTCTCGGATTTAGGGCTTTTCCACAATGCTGAAGAACAAGGCGTTTTTGAAGAAGAATCGAGGCGGCCGGGTTTTCAAGGTGAGGGATGCTCTTGCGGTCTTGCTTTCGATGGATTTGCGTCTTCGTCCAGGTCGTTCGCGAGCACTACCTGCGCGATGATATTCCCTGCGGCGCTACGTTTTGTTCCAGCTGCGACACCTCCACTGCCAATCTCGTTGCGGCCGAGCGGCTTGTTGTGGTCGATACAAATGTGGTGTTACACCAGGTGCTTGTTCTTGCCTCTCTTTTTTCTTCTATTAGCGATTTTTTGCGATCTTCTATCTAGATGGATTTGCTCGAAAATCCGGCATTTCGCAACGTGATCATTTTATCCGTTGTTCTGGAAGAAGTGAAGAACAAGAACTTGAGTGCTTACAATCGCCTGCGCAACATTTGTGCGAATCGATCACGTCAGTTCTTCGTTTTCTCTAATGAACACCACAGGCAAGATATCAATTATGTCTTCTTCCTAAATCTTTTTCTCTCAGGGAGACTTACATCAAGGCAATGGCGAATGAGAGTGTTAACGACAGGAATGACAGAGGTACTTGGTTTTTGCTGTTTCCTTTTTCGAAGCGATTTTTCTCTCGAATCTCCAGCTATTCGCGTCGCAACCCAGTGGTTTCAGAAACACCTCGGAGATGCGTGCACTGTTGTTCTTCTGACAAACGATCTTGACAATAGATCCAAGGCCAATGCAGAAGGAATCAACGTTTTTTCTGGTACGTTTTCTAGTGAAGTAGATATAACACTTAATAAACTCCTCTTTTAGTGGACCACTTTGTTCAGTCGCTAGACAAGCCAGAATTACTGGATTTGGTTGCTCGGAGTGAGTCCGAGAATGCCACTCCGATGGAAATAGAGGACTCGAGACCGTCAAAAAGAAAGATCATCTATTCAGAGGTACATGTAACCCAATTGTCACCGGCGCTTACATTGCATCTTTCAGCACAAACCTATGTCCGAAATCACTGCGGGCATACATCAAGGAATATATCACCAAGGAAAGCTGCGAGTTAACAGATATAACCCGTTCCAAGCCTACGTCGGTAGCGAAAGTGTTGGCGACGAGATTTTGGTTCAGGGAAGACTGAATATGAATCGAGCATTTGATGGGGATGTGGTTGTCGTAGAGCTTCTCCCGCACCAGTCTTGGCAAGGCGACATGACAATGATTGCTGAAGAGGAAGGTACATAGCTCTAAATCTCCATTTTGTTCTGAAGCGTTTTACAGACGGCGATGGTGATGAAAGAGTCGGGCTTGCTCCTGACACCTCGGATGAGGCTGCTGTGAACAAGACGGATGAAGCCAGTGAGAAAGCAACAACGTCCGGTGGATCCAGCAGACCGAATGGACGTGTCATTGGAATAATCAAGCGGAACTGGAGGGCGTAAGAACTTTTCAGTTCGTCATGCTATTGGGAACGAACGTTTTCACGTTCCTTCTTCAGGTACTGTGGCTCTCTGGAGCCAATGACAACGCCAGCAGGAGCGGGAAGCGTGGCAAATGCATTGTTCGTGTCAGCGGACCGTCGAATTCCAAAAATCCGTATCCAGACTCGTCAGTTTGGTAATTTGGTTGACAAACGCATCGTGGTGTCTGTCGACTCCTGGGATTTAAACTCCAGATATCCTTCTGGACATTACGTGAAAACTGTCGGCAAAATTGGCGATCGTGACACAGAAAGCGAGGTAAACGCCTCGTTAAGAACTTGAAAATCAGCTCTACGTGTTTTGTTTTCAGGTTCTTCTTATTGAGAATGACATCAACAATAGGCCATTTTCGGACCAAGTGTTGGCCTGCCTCCCGCCGTTGCCTTGGTCGGTACCCGCAGAAGCGTTGCACGATCCTCATCGTGAAGATTTACGAAATTTGAGGGTGTTCAGTGTAGACCCCATTGGTAAGGATGATCAGTGCGTAATGCTGCTTTCATTTACAATTGCTGTTAAAATGTGTAGGCTGCAAGGATATCGATGACGCTCTTCACTGTACCTTACTGCCAACTGGCAACTATCAAGTCGGAGTCCGTATCCAATCTTGTGTTTATATTCTTTTCTCTGTTCCATCCTTAATAACTTTCCAGATATTGCGGATGTAACAAGCTTTGTTCATCCTGGTACACCTCTAGACATTGAAGCTCAGGAAAGAGGAACATCTGTTTACTTGGTTGAACGTCGCATTGACATGCTTCCCAAGCCGCTTACTGAAGGTTAGCTCGAATTCGTGGATTTTCAGTGGTATTTACGTATATACAATGCAGATGTGTGCTCTCTCAGAGCGGATGTAGAAAGATTTGTTTTCTCGGTCATTTGGGTAATGCCAGCTTCGTTAATTTCTATTCATTGTCACTTACAATTCTAAATTCAGGAGATGTCCTCAGAGGCGGATATAATTTCAGTTCGATTTACAAAGGGCGTAATCAAGTCCTCCGCTGCTCTTTCGTACGTTGAAGCTCAAGCCCGAATGGATGATAGGTACGTACACTTGCTCCGAATTTTCTTGAAGTGGAGAGTAACTTGTACGTCAGCCGAATGTCGGACCCCTTAACTACTGATCTTCGGAACATGAATCGCCTCGCTAAGGTTGTTAAGCTTTTTGTCTCTGCCATGCTCATCGGCAAACTGCAGGTTTTGAGGCAAAGGCGAATTGAACGCGGGGCTCTTACTCTTGCTTCTCCTGAAGTGAAGTTCGAAATTGATACAGAAACACATAATCCTTTGGATGTTGGTCAGTATTCTGCGTTTACGTTTGCAAAGTTAATCTAAACTAACAGAAGGTTGTTTCAGGCATGTACCAAGTAAGAGAATCAAATCACATGGTCGAAGAGTTTATGCTGTTGGCAAATATTTCAGTCGCGAAGAAGATATTGTCGAGTTTCCCAGTGTTTTCTCTTCTCAGGTATTTTTCTTTTTTCTTTATTTTTTTTTTCAGCAAACCTTGGATTGAACTTGACAGACGGCATCCTACGCCAACATCGAAAATGTTTGAGCCTCTTCTAAAAATTGCTTCGGCAGTAGGCATCAAACTGGACATCACTTCGTCTATGACTCTCGCAAATACTCTTGACCTTGCAGTGGTATGTGTAGAACTTTACATGTTTTTTGTTTACCGCCTCACGTTTACATGCATATAGGGGGATGATCCATACTTCAACAAATTGATAAGAATTCTTGCAACTCGGTGCATGACCCAAGTAAGCTGATTTTATAGCGTTTAGTAGCTCATATTTGCGTTGTTGCCTTTCAGGCGGTTTACTTTTGCAGTGGCGAGCTAAGCCCTCCAGAGTTTCAACATTACGGACTTGCATCAGCAATATACACACATTTCACGTCTCCCATCAGGCGATATGCTGGTAAGTGACCACTTATGCTGTTGATGTGAATCTTATTAAACAGCGTCTCAACGCAGATGTGATTGTACACCGGTTGCTGGCTGCAGCTTTGGATTTGGAAAAGCTGTCACCGTCCTTACGCGACAAATCCGAGGTCACGAAGATCGCAGACAGTAAGGCTATGGCGTTTCTTCAGTGACCTCATGTCTCACTTTACTCAAACAGATTTGAACTACCGGCATCGAAACGCGCAAATGGCAGGCCGAGCATCAGTGGAGCTCCACACTTTAATGTTTTTCAGAAACAGGTTGTTCTTCACGGATCTTTTGTGCGGTTTCTCACGCATTGTCTCGTTGTAAGCAGGCCTACAGACGCAGACGCAAGGATTGTACAGATCCGATCCAACGGGCTGATAGTGTTTGTTCCAAAGTATCTATTCTCCTCGTTGTTTGCAAATCTCTGTACTGAATCTGGAATTCGCTTTGCAAGGTATGGCATTGAAGGGCCCGTGTTCCTGGTTGACAAGGCAAGCAAGTCGAGTACCAACTGGATAATGGACGAGGAGCAACAGTGTGCCAATGCTCGGGATGGTAGTTCCAAGTACAAAGTGCTAGACAGCGTGAAGATTCGCATTCAAGTTGTGGAGCCGCAGCCAAACAGGCCCAAGTTGGAACTTACTTTACTGGCATAACAGGTAGATCATGTTAAAGCTTCTCTTCGTTTTCTAAACCTCTCGCCTCTTACTCGCAGCGATTCTTCAAACTTTGTTACTGGCTATTTCACTGCTAGTAGTGCTCCGAGCATTTGCTCAAACTCGTCGAGAGCTTGGAAGCAAGTTCCCGGCCTTTGAAGCGGTGGAAAGAAGAGCAAAGAAGCCGTCGTGAAGATAAAGCCCAGCGTTATCACTACGCACATTACCTTGGGCAGCTTTGAGACGAGCGGGCCAAAGTTTCTTCGCAGTGCCACCTCCACGACCATCGCGAGGCCGTTGACCAGGAAGAACCCAGTCACCTGCCACGTCGGCGTTGACTTGGTGGTGTAGAGAAAAATCACTTCGTGCATGAGACCAGAGACGAGGAAGACTGCCATGGTTGCCGTGGCTCTCACCCAGAGCGGTGACCGCGTACGGTCTGGTCCGGCTCGGCCCAACCTGGTTAGTACGGAGAGTACGGGCTCGTATACCGAGGCCCTGAGCATGCTGCTAACGAGTCGATTCCAGCGCTTGCCCCAAAACTCCGAGATGGATGCCGCGAGGAAGGGCTTGTCGAATTGCGGCTCGAGCTTCACACCGATCGTGGCGGCGGCGATGGCGGGGATGGCCTCGAAGATGAGCGAGCAGGCAAGGTAGATATGGAGGGAATAGATGAGGTAGAGGAGGAGCTCGGGCATGCCGCGGTCGCGGAATGCGTAGGCGGAGAAAAGGAGCACGACGAGCAGGACCTTGATCGAGGCCCGGATGATCACGGCCTGCCAGGCGAGGGATTCTTGGAGCCATATCCAGGAGGATTTCCAGGATATCGGGGCCGATCGATCGTCTGGAGCTGGAGCGGCATTGGATTCTGCCGCATTGCTGCTCGCATCGATGAGGCTGCGCGGGATGTTGATGGAGAGCGCCATGGCCGCGAAGAATCGGGGGAAGCTGGCCGTGACGGATGGATCTTGGACGGCGCCGAGGTTCCAGCAGAGGAGGAGGAGCTTGGACGGGATCATCCACAGGAAGAAGAAGGAGAGGACCGCTCTTAGGTGGATGGTGGGAACGTCCCAGGCGGATCGATAGAGGAGAACGATCCATGGCAGCAACGCGACGAGCCGAGGGATTCCAACGGGCAGGCGGAGGAGGACAATGTAAGCGAAGACGATGCAGCCAATGCCTCCAGCGGCGACGTCTCCTCCCCTGACCATTTGCCCCCGGAAGAGCCCTAATTAGGGCTTGGGCGAGATGCTGGTAGCGCGGGTTGTGCTGCTCTTCCTCCTCCTCTCGACGACCTTGCTGGGGGCGAGGG